CAGCTATGCGGATATATCACCAGAACTTTCTCCCTACCTGAAGTACGACTTGAATCATTCAAGACAATTGTACGACCGACTCTGGAATATTGTACTACCGTTCACAGCCAATTGAGAAAAAATGACAGAACAGCTCTAGAAAATATCCAACGATCATTTACCAAGCTGCTTATGGGACGCTGCTCAAATCTGACTTATTATGATCGCTGTCGAAAACTCCAGCTGGATCCACTTTGGAGGGGCGCTTAAAGAACAACCGCGTTCTCTTCTACAAGATTATAAACCAACGAATTTACGCAGACAGCACCGCACTTGAACTACGGAAGATTGCAGTCTACCCCACACGTAATGGCGGCTATTTGATACATACAAACCTTTCAAGTCATAAAATTCGGTCGAATTTCTTCTTAGTGAGATACACTTATCTGTGGAACAAACTACCCCTACAGATACGCATGTGTACTAGCCATGTCACTTTTCGAAATCACCTTCAGACCTTCCTCACTATACCAAATGCTCTGAAGATTTTTGACTCACAGCAAACGCTAGAAACATTGACAGAAGTTGGTATAAAAACATTTGATAATCACTTACAGCTAGCTTCCCACTACATGTCATTACATACCACATCAAGTCCAGTGTTTTTTACAGCCTAGTAGTCCATCCCTTTATTATTTACTCCTAACGATACAATCATCCGTAAAATTTACATTTGAGTTGCTCGGGTCTAGGACTCAGAAAAAAGTAATCATGATCCGAAATGCTATCACTAAACTTTTCTTTGGTGTTATGAAACGTATTCACAATACATATGACCGCTCCCACTTATGGGGCCGTGTACCGTCCGTCGGTAAATATACAAATTTATTTATGTATTTATTTATTTTCAGTTCCGGCAGCGGAGTATCAGTGCTGAAAGCAAACAACATCGGAAACTCTGAAATAATTCATTGTCGTGGTCCGGTTAGTGAGAAGCAAGTCAAAGCATCTAAAAGTTCTAGAGACTGTGTAGATACCCAATGTGGGTAATTCGATTTGCCACATGAAGACATGCTTGTTTCTAATATCGTCCGGCGGATATGCGAGCATCAATCTTCGAATGTGTTCGGCAGGTGATCGGCAGGTGATCGTTCAACTCTGATGCTTGTGCACTTTTACGCACATTCAGGTCATGTGGCCACGCCAGTTCGCAATTATCTATGCGGCCACAGCGCCGTTGTGGACGTTCGTCGAAATGTACCCACAGGATGGCGTATGGAAATGCGAGTTCAATGTTCACGCACGTGCTACAAATCGGGAGACAATTCTATAAGAGATGTGATCAATTTGTGTCCATGGCTGGTCTGAGGATGATGCGCGCTATGTCAATCTTCTGGGGGTGCTGTGTCGGAAGTTAGTGCCCGTGAGAAATAGATGACCATCACCACACAGATGTAGCAACCAAACACTGTTACGGGAGTCGACATCATGTTGGCTGCCCAGAGGAAGCTCACAAGTGGAAAACTTTTCAACTTGAGCGTTCAGATAAGTAGCAAGGACCACAGTACCCGTACTTTTCCTGTAACGAAGGAGCTTGTTCAGCTAGTCTTCTTTCACCGAGTCGGTGCTATAACTTGTGGGCGCGTATGCAGCAGTAACAAACAGGAACCACATTTCCACGCGTGACGTCGACCCGGCCATATTGACGTCACAGGTCCGGTTAATGTCTGGGATCCACTACATCAAGAGAGATGAAGCCTGGGGTATAACACAATGCCCAAACCGGATTGAACGGCATTTGAAGCTGTGCCGCCAGTGTCGTATGGTAAGCTCAGATCTCGAATAGTGTAGGCGGGTTTAAGTTGAGTAGCAGATATCAGTCGATCGACAGTCTCTGGTGTTCGGGTCGGTATTGCCTGCTGGCCATGTCAGTTTTAGGTAGGTTCGAGGGCCCTAGATAGAAACTGACAAATGGACGTTGTTCGCTTGATGGAACTTAAACGTGTCGATGGGACCAGAGCGACACCTGCGTCCCGTGTGTTGAAACTAGGACACAAGTATCGATTGAGGCAAGATGAGTGATGGTAAAAATGGGCGGCTGAAAACAGGGAGAACAAAAGACAAATTAAAAAGAAGCAGCAGGATGGAAAAGCGCAAGCAGGAGAATAAGGACTGGAAGACAGGTGTCTATTGAAGCAAGATGTGGGCTGGCCGGGATTTAGGGGGTTGAAGGCAGGGGGGGATAGAAGTGAAGTTGGAGCGAGAGGATAATGATGAAAAATTGCAAAATGAGGGGATAAGGAAACGAAAGGGCCTGATTAGTATATCCTTATCCCTATCAACCCTGCTCGATATAGCGAAAAGGGCGCTTTTAATTACCTTGTGCAACAGCTAGACAATCAATAAATTCTAAATAAGACAATAAGAAGACTGGTATTGCGAGATGGAATCATTTCGTGTTATCTGTTCACTCGCAAACTAACAACATATATATGAACCACGTGATAGAAAAATCGAAGATTTGAAACTGGTCACAAGGGAAAATTACATAGACGCAAGAATGACAGATCAGCATCTTGATCTCAGGGTCATGAGCCCCAAGGCAGCTTAAGAGAGGCACACAAACAATCGTGCCACGCTAAGGTCTAGTCTCATCGCGATGAGTAAAAGCCAACCAGAGCATTGAAAAGGTGGGCACAGAGAAAACCAATAGGGACCGAAGAAATAAGAAAGCAATTAGATGTACACAAAGAAAGGGAAGTGACAGCGTCAGCGTCCAACTAGAACCCAGAAACAAAGACCGCAAACAGCCACTAGGAATAACGATATGAAACGTAAAAGCAAAGGTAAATGAAATAGTACAACATAACGCAAGAAAACATGAATGCATATTTAGGTCAGTATGCCTGTAGTATGATTGTTTTCCTAACGTAGTGAAGCGAAATTACACACGTAATCACGTATTATAGTTTGGATACGAAAAACTAAAACACAGTCTTTGAGACCACTGGTCAAGTTACAACTGCTGTCAAATAATCCGTCCTCAGGAGTAGATCAGAAGCACACGGCGAATCAACCAACCTGAAGTTTAACTAATCACCCGGTGAGGATAAACTGTTAGGGAGGAAAACTCTAAGCGGACAACCGAGGTGCTCACCGTGGTTACGGAGCCAAAGCTTAGCAGACAAGCAAAAGACTCGCATTGATTTGGGAGAACAGATAGCCAACCGAGTGAAGTAGCAATTAACACGAGGGTGGCATTACTTGATTGGCCGTAAATTGACCCTTCTGGAGTTTTTCACATGAGCTTTAAATACCATTGACGAACTTCGATTTCACATTTATGAACGGTATTCTTGGCAAATACAACCCTGTTCCTCTGCTCGTCCGATTCGGTCTTCTCTTTCCAGTAGGGGGAGCAGTGACGTCGAATGCAGAATCAGAAAAAACCGTGGAACGATCACTTCATAAACTGTCCTCCGTTGTCCTCAGGCAGTGCGCCGATTATCCGGCACAGGCTATCGCCGACTTGTACACATTGCGCTTAAAGAAACAGAGGATAGCAGTCAGTTGGCCGAGTTCAAACATCATACCGTTATCAAAGAAAGGAACTTGCAAATGTCGGCCAACTTTGGCACATCGATTGCTCTGAAGACTTTTGAGAGGGTTATCCGAGGAAACATGTTAGTCAAGAAGCATTTGGTTGAGCTCCATCAGTCCGCATATCGCAGTGTAAAACTCATCGTAGCTACAATAGCTTGTCCCGTACACAGCGTGCTCTCAACAATGGATATCAAAAATAAATCCACTCGCATCTGCCTTTCGGACTAAAGCGAAGCGTGTGGTAGCGTTAATGTTGGAACCGTTGTCGCGTTTTCTGCTCTACTCCTGAGCTCAAACTTTGGCTGTTTGTCTCCTGAAGAAATGTTTGACAAGGCGAACCCAGTTTGCCAGGAATCTTTGGGAGAATCTTCACTACACAACACGAATGCAAGTGTCCTGGAAGAAGCGGTCATGCTTAAGTGTGCGGATGAAGTAATCATGTACGCTCATCCTCTAACCATAGAGCCATCGTCCAGATAACAAGCCTCAATGGACAACCTCGCAGTTTGGTTCAAAGCCCACTGCGAGTCGTAGAATAATACAAAGTGCAAGGATTTTCATTTCTTACTGTTTAAAGGAAACGGACACCAACAACTTCTCGCAAAATGCCCACAACTTCACCTTGATGGTGAAAGAGTTCCGTTTTCCACGCCAATGAAATATATGGAAGTAACACTAAGCTTAAGTAGTACTTTCACGTGAACGAAATACCCACCAAACTAGGACATGTTATGCTACTTGCCACAAGTATTCTTTCGTACTACGTTCTTTGACAATGCGCGTTATCATACTGGACCTACTGCTATCCAGTGATCGCAGGCCTCTTGAAGAGCGATCACAAAGTAAGTGAAACATCCATCTCAATGTTGGGGCCTTCTAAGAAATTGTCAACCTCAATGTAGATAATAATTTCAAATCCTGCATCCAACATACGCACTGATGGTAGCCATCCCTTCCATGGGGCGTTGTCCGAACTTTTATAGAACTCCACTGTCAGAGAGATGCAGTAAAACTATAAATGTCCGTACAATATGTAATTACACTACAGATGTCTGGTATTTGCGGGCTTATTCGACTTATCTAGAGTAAATAATTCAAGAAATCATCTGCAAGTTATTGCAAAACAAAGGTGTTTGAATTCATCTGAATTAAAGAATAAGTAAACCGATTGCTAGAGAAATAAATGAAATAAACTGACCGCCTCACTAGTCGTTAGACAGAAAACCCAAAGGATATACGAGGCTCATTCATTGCACTTTAATCTAACTGATATGAGAAGTAAGAACTTTGCACAGTAACATCTAGTTTCACAGTTAAAAAACAATGTTGATTCGAATGAAATCAAGTCAAACAATCGGACATGGCGCAACACAAGTGGTGAAATCAAACATAAATGGTGCCTTCAGGTAAAATCTTACCCAAATGGATAGCAATGATGTGCCTCTGCAAAGCGCTATTCAAGGAAAACGATTTACCACAGCGCTCGCAGGTATGGTTGCGTTGTTCTGGATCGAAAGGGAGAAAGCAAGCAAGCACAGATGAGTCACAGAAAAAGAAAGGTGCAGAATAGTAAATATGACGTTGTAATGATGTACAAATGTTACGGTACGCGCAGGTCGTAACGATGAACAAGGATTTCGTGTTTTCGTCACGTGGAGTAAGGGCCGTATCCCTTACTTATTTCTTAATGTGGGAGTGTAGAAAAAGAAGCAATGGGCGAGTTAATTGCCAATAACAAAGACCAGATGCTGTGAACACATGACATAGAGTGGATAAAAAGAAGAGGGACCTCCCCATGGAAAGATACCAGGTAGAAAGTACAATGGGTACAGCTGCGAAGAGGGGAGCTCATTGCTGGCACCACCAACAGAAGGTTCTGCGCGTATCGAGATCCAGTAGCTGTCTTTCTCGTCACTCCGACCATTCCGGTTTTCCGTTGCGAATACATACCTCAGCGAATACATTCCCTCAGCACGATATCCTGGACAATCTGCATATATTGCACCCGTAACTGCTGAAAACACACTCTCAAAATGTCACTTCAAGTGAACGGCGCATATACTCATCGTTCCACTGTTTTGGGTGGCCATAAGTGGGCAGTCACCTCTTCGTATCCTCCAATGTGATGGAGAAGCGGAGCATAAAAGTGTGGAATCCATGCTCCTTTGTTGAGCCGTCGCTCTACTGAATTTAGACTAATGTCCAAAGAAGTGGTCGCGTTACTCCAAAGACACTATTGTGTGGGTACCAGGCCGATAACGGCCTTGATAACAGTTTCGGCATTTTCAATACAGCGACAAAGTCTTTACAAGGTATACCATCAAACCATCACATAGATTAAGCTGGCTATATAGGAGGCCGTCATGGTTTCCTTTGTCAAACGCTTCGCTCAAACCGATCTAGATCATGTCGACAGATTTCGCCTGGTTCACTGCCTGCATCCATTCATGTCTTGTCTAGAGCAGATTGGGGACGCATGAATGACCTGGCGTGAAACCGTGATGTCCGGGCCTCAGGAGATCTTTTAACCAGAACAGATGCTTCACAACGTTCTCTGCAATATTGGCCAGAATAGGTCTCAAACAAATTGGCTTGTAGTTGCCCACTTTGCTGCGGTCACCGCTGTTCGGAATCGGCCTTACCAACGAGCATTTCCAATCATTCGGTAATGTACCTTCGGACATGGAACTGCTGTATAGGTCAGTTACGGCAGGCGAGATGACGGCCGATAAAAAATTGAGAACCAGGGGGTGAAGCCAGTCACGCCCAGCAGGTTTCCTTCCGTCAAGATTGTCGAGTAGCTGACGCACCCCTTTCACATCACAATCCAGACTGTGAGTTCGGTAAGCGTGGTGCATGTTGAACTCGGTACAGACACCTCGTCATTTGCAAACACAGAAGCAAAGTGCGCAAAGTACGCTCAGTGCTAGAGGTTAGGGGCTGTCCTTTCTCGTCCTTGATCACCGGTAGGCTACTTGTCGGTCTCAGGCGCCGCTTCAGGTATGCATACATACAGACATGGATTGGCGGCATCCGTATCCGGATTTGGCTATGAGTGTGGCCTCCACGGGGGCAGCCACAAAACGCCTGCGCCTACAGAGGACCCAGGGATGTCTTGCGCTGAACCGCCCACAGTTCCACCCACACACCCCATTTCCAATGTAAATCCGAAGAAATAAGACCGCGAGGCATGTGGATAGGAGCAACGTTTCATCAACGGAGCCGGCCCACACTCCTTCACAAGCAAACGCAAGCAAGCCATAGATGGAAACCAAGCGCACAGAAGGCGGTGGCTGGACCGTAGTCCGCTCCACACTGAGTGCATGCAACCACACTTCGAGCCTAGCATGGCCACAAGGACGGTGTACCCTGTCCCTCCCCACCAACGATCAACTGTCTCCTGGAGCCAGTATGGATAAGCTAGTGAGTAATAGGCGAGCAGGCAGAAACTGGATAGAGATCTAATAAATCTCATGAACAGTAGTACTACAAACGTGCATGGGTTTCGCTTGGAGGTCAGGCTAACAGCCATTTTCGCACGCTTGAGAATAAGTACCAAATACGAACCGCTGGTGTTTTCTTTAACATTTAAACGTGAACCTAAATAACAGACATAAATCTTGTGCAGCAATATGTGAACGAAACCAATATAGGAATAGTGACGCAACTTCCATCAGTACGGTTATCAGGTAGAATGATTAATAAGCAGGTGGTACAGTAAAATAGTGTGTAATTAGGTTTTGCCGTCTATACGTACAGCCCGGTTTGTGTAGCTAATGGGGGAGATCGCACAGCGTGCAATTGCGATGGGGTGTTCATTACAGGCTCTACGTGTCGCCGACCAGTCCCGTCATCTGCTGACCGAGGTACGTGCAGATTCTCAAAGAACGAGGGTTGCGCAACCTTAACCACTGACACATGGCAGTATCACATATTCACCGCTTACGGCCTCGTTGGCACGACAACTACCACAGTACTACATCAACTAAGTCCCGCTGCCCACTGTCAAACATGCGGCTTTCCAAACAGTGTTCGCATTGTTTTGCAAATGTCCAAGACGTAGCATGGCTATCATCAAAATACTCAATGGTTTGTACACACCGATGTGTACTCCGCTGTGGCCATAAGTATTTGGTAACGATCAGCATCGTACTTCTCGAGTGCAGCCATTCGTTGCTCTTAAAATAAAAAATGGTCACTACTCGTCGAGTTCTTTCCGATCTAATATACCAACACACTGAGATATCATTCCCGTCGGGCTTAACATTTTGCATAGTCTATCCAAAAGACTGGCCATGTCCAATTTAACGTTTGGTAGGCGTCTCTGCGGTTCCGCCTTCAATCCCCGTAGTACTTGCGTTTTCATAAGCTCCGGAGAATTCAGTATGGCTGATGAACAAAGGGAAATATAACTTTGATCATTCTCATCACTAACCTAGGGAGCGGAACATGAACTGTCAACATCATGTTAATCGCTAGTCGCTTAATTGTCGGGATTGTTCACATGCCGCAGAATTTACAGGGCAATTTCTCTTCGGATGCATAGTCCAACGTAGTCACACGAGGGACAATCATTGAGCATTGTGTTCCAAATGTCAAACTTTACACTTTGTGCGTACTGTAGGCGGCCAAGCGCTGGTAACTTTTTGATTCAAACGTATCCATTGAACTGGAAACATACTCAATAATTTGCCATCCTAGCGCTGGTCAATAACACAATTCGGTCGAAAGCTACATGTGCACGTCAAATACGAATGAGCTCATGAATGGACTGAACCATTATCCTGCGATGCACTGGCTCCATAAGCGTGGTGCTATTTAGCTTTAAGCAGCTGGTAAACCTAGGCTCATTTAATCTAAAAGTCGATTTCAAGGAGCAGGATGTAGCTAGCATAGTCTGGTGAGTAATATCATGAAGCTTACATAGTGATGTGAATCGCGGCCGAACAATAATACGAAGAGGAAGATGTCGTAGCTCACCATCTCGGTATGTCAACATACTAGACTCCACATCAGAAGGTGGCAAGAATAGTATAGGTCATGATAAGTACAAAAGTTTAGTGCGCATCACGTAAAGTCATCGCGAAATAAAACCGAGTTAAGTAAGCCACATAAAGGTAGGTTACATGTGGCTCATCCGTTCTAAGCAGGTGCAATAAAGATACTACATTGTACCAAGTTAATAGTTAATCGACCTAGAATGAAACTGTGTCCAAGCGAGACTTACATGAGCGATAGAATAAGGATGACACAAAGAATATGACGGAGATGGAGTAAGCAACTTTACAAGTTAGCAAGGAAATGGTGCGATGAAATCCATTGATTTTTATAACCTCAGATAAGCTAAAGTCCGCGGCGAAACAACAGGAACTAAAGCCATGCTGACATAACAAGGAAGTAGAAGCACAGTGGAACAGTGATGAATTATCGTTGGTGTGTGCTGTAAATGCCGTCTTCCATAGTAACTGCAGGCTATTTGTGTCACAAGGTAGGCCAGATCCGGTCCGATCGTCCCCTGTCCCAGAGGTGAGTAAGAATTTACATGCATGTGGAACCAGCAGGCGGTCAGTCGTGTGTGACTATTTATGCTCCCCTTGATCAACTGTTCTCAGCACTAGCGTATCTCGACCATTTCATCAGTGCCCAGGGTGTTACTTTTGTCCACCTGTGTCACATCGTGTTGCTACTGTCGGCAAATCGAAATTTATGACTTGTCTGAATATTAATGCGCAGTACAGAGGCACTGGACGTGACTAGCTTGACCTCACAGTGCAACCCACAATACTTAACGGTGTCAAAAGAGATGAAATGTAATAAGATGCACCTGCCAAGTGGGAAGATAAGGAGACACAAATAGATGTTACCGTTACCTGTAATTTGGGAGAGCCCCAGTTTGACATCGAGCAATTGGATAATGGTGTCAGGCGTGTGAAAATGCGACTAGGCTGTTAGGCTGAAATGTGGCGCTTACGAGTATTTCTGATTTCACTTAGTCATACAACACGATGTTGATTGAGCTTCCCGGGGGTGGCTGCGAGTAAAGGTATCAGTTGACACACCAAAGTTCCCTGGTTAGAGTTGCAGTACTGCAGTGGTACGAGCAGGTATTTGTTCACACTTGTGTATGGACTATCACAAAGTGAATGGAGAAACAGCAACCTTCATGAGGAATAACATTACGTACGTGCATGAGTTTGGATTGCATGAAGGAAGAACAGCTATATTCCACTAGTATTGCAAAATCGCAGGTACTACTGTTGGCAACCAAAAAGACTGTCGGTAGTTAGTTAACGTTTAGATGTTAACTTAAATGGCAGCCTTCAATGTAGTCAGAAATGTGGGCACCAAAAATATAATGGCGGGAGAGCCTATGGTGCGCTGAGGCTGGTGGTGGCTAGATCCTGACAGATGGTCTACCCACTGCTGCTACTGCTGCGCCATTGTCTCATATCCTGGGCGCCTCCACGTGGCGACCGCTGGGTGGGAGTTGGGTTTCGCCATTCTC